TTACCTGCTGTTTTAATAATTAAATTTTAAAAATTAAGAAATTAGTAGTTTGGGAGAATAAATTATTTTTTTCTTCTTGCAGCTGAAAAGCTGTTTTGCAAATTTCCAATTGACTATATTTACAATGTATGGATCTCTGCAAAGTAAGAAATTTCATTATAACTTTGCTATTGTTCAACCGAATAGTTTTTGATATATTACAGAGTTAAACTCTCACTAGTTGACAGAGGTCAATTTAATAAAATATGTTGTCATGTAGCAATGTAAACTATTTGTTACAAAGAATTCGTTGCTAATGTCCTTTTCTGTGGACATTTAAATGTCACTCAAACTATTGATTTCTCTTCAAACCATGCAATCACAGATCTGATGCAGAAAAATAACTGAACAACAAACACACTAAGAAATCTATTTGAAAAATAAGGCCAAAACTCCTTTGTTAAAGATTGACTGTTTTTTTGGTTTCGAGTTCATACTTTGCCAGCAAAGTAAGAGATACTTCAAAGAGTGACTTACTACAAAAACCAACCTATGCAACTATCTTTATCGAGCAGCTATGAACATGCCAACAAGCAGACTAATCATAGTGCTTGTTCAACACGACAATATCATAGAGCATGACACGTTATTTAAAAACAGATGGATTTCATTATATACTTTGTACTGCATGTCACAAGTTGGTTTATAGTGCTGCTATCGAAAAAATGCTTCCGCCAATACCTTTATGAACATTTGAAGAATACATTACCACCGACTTTCTCTTCTACTTCCCGAAACAGCTTGAGACAACAAATAAAGTTAATATTCTACGGAATATCTTATCTTGCATTCAATATAGATTCACTGGAGAATGTTATCGATTTTGAAAAACTTTGAATAATTTATGGCTCGGAAAAGAAAATTTAAAAATGTCCCAGTATAAGACATAGCAAGCTTTCCTAGCTTTAAAAGATCTTTAAGCCAGCTATTATTCCATCCATTAACTGAGTGTGACACAGTGTCTTATTTTGGAGGGTGCGACAAAAGAAAACTGCATTGGATGTCTGGAAATTAATTCATCCTCAACGGACTATTGAACCCAACAATTACATCGTCAGAAGAAAACATCACAAAGCAATCTATGGACGTTATTGAGAGGTGTGTGTTGCTGTTGTTTCATCGAAAGAAAAGAAAACTGATACAAACTGATTGAATATGCATGCAAAGGAAAAGTCAGTGCAAGTACTTTAAAGGCAATCTGTATTTAAACTGCGCTTTGTGATATGACTTTTATCCATTGCATTTTTACGACAGCTGTACGACCAATTTCGTATGAAAAATCAGTTTACTCGTATTCACAATTTATTGATTGGAACTTTACTGAACTGATTAGCAAATAGTTCATGTTAAATCGATCCAGACAAATGAACCTGTAAAATTGCCTGAATGTTCTGTTTTATAAGCATGATACACTACTCAAGTTGAAAAAGCTAGATGTCAACAAAGTACAATATTTCTGGCAATAAACGCAGGAATTGACCAAGTGACCATTTTACACAAACAGTTATCGGTGGATAACTTCGCTAGTTTTTATTGAATTCACTCAAATACATGCTTAAAATAAGCGCTGTATGTTCCTTTTTAAATTAAATTTTGATTGGATAAATTTCTATACAATACAATGGCAAAAACTGCGAAAAACCTCATTTTTGTAATACAATCTACATATCTTTTGCCCTGTATACGCCGCCATATTGAATAATCATGATGGCCCAACGCGCACACATACAATATGTACGTACCTATGACTACTACATCTATGGTAAAAGTAGATATTTTAATATGCGCAAAGCTCAAATTTAAACACGGTAAACAATTACAGACTTGCATTGTCATGTTATATCGCAAGCTAAGCAAAGAAGATAAAAAATTGAACATGCCTTGTATATTTTAACCAGTCTGAGGCAACGTATTTTAAAAATGTCTGTTGTAAAAGCACTTCTATTTTGTTTTGAAAAAAATGCAGCAACCCTTATTCAACGTTGATTGTTATTCTTTCAATAATATTACACGATTCCTTTCCTTTATCGCGTTCCAGACTTTGTTGTTAGCAAAACGCGAGCGCCAAATTGTATTCGAGAAAATGCAAAATTCAACGCTTGAAACAGGCCTTATTATGCGATGCCCGATGTTACTAAAAGATGTTAGATACAACCACATTTCACGTAGTGATTAGCCGCTGATCGTGCGAGTACGGGCAGATTAAGAAAAAAGGTACGTATAGCGTACATATGGATTTAATTTTAAAAAGACAAAATACTATTAACAAATCTTCAATTTACCTATTGATATTATTCTAATTGAGAGTCAAGCACAATCCTTATTCATAATCACTATACATAAATTTAAAAGTTGCTTTTTATCAAGGAGATAAAGTGAATTTAATTGAATGAAAATGAACTATTAGTTTGAAAAATTTACGATAATCGTAAAACAGAGGGAAATGAGAGCAAAGATGAGCCTAACGTCCATGGTCCTAGCTTCATACTGTTTGATCACTAATGTTTTACTTCTATTCTCCTACTACCTCCACCGTCTTTATACCGGCTGATCTTTAATGTAATAATTCTACTCTCATCTGTCGAAAATCCTTTAACTAAGAAACACACAACTTGAATAAAAATTTTTTATATATTCATAAATATACCAAATAATAATTGAAAACCATATTTAGGGTTGATACAGTATGAAAAAAATCGTATACAGTCAAGAAACTTAGACACTTCTCAAAAGCCAAGACCTCTTGTATGTGAAGACACATTTACGACCTTTCGTTAGCGGAGGTGAATACCAAAACAACTTTCACAAACAACATTATAAACTGTTGTAAGCGGTTGCACTTGATCTATTTTCAGTCAAATTAGTAATTATCCCGACTAATTGACATATTACGGTATATAAATAGATGTTGTTTTGTAATGCATGTAAATTCCTTCGTCTCCTTCATTTTTCTTCATGAACCACTATAGTTTCTTCTCCAGGTTTGCGCATTTATGTTCTTTAAAGAAAATTTTTTCATGTCATGTGAACTTCAAGCATTGTGTCTGTACAATGACAATATACATGATGAATTTGTTGTTTAATAACGTCTATGGACTCAAACGTTTCACTGTACAGATGTTGGACTTTTCTGTCGTTATAAAGCATATAATAATATTTCAAAACATTGTTAAAACAGTCATATTTAAAAAATTTTATAATTATGCAAAAATTAACAAGCATCTCATAAGCGGACACCTCGGACAAAAGAACACCGAGTCATTGTCTCAAGGGTGTCCTTTCACGGAGGTTCGATTGCATTCATTGAATATAAAAATGCTTTAAAACGTCTATGCCTATATAGAGTGAAGAATGTTCTGAATTTTCTTTCTTGATGTTTTCCATCGTTACAAACATTTGCTGGCACGGATGAAACTATCAAACACAATAGTGGTCATTTTACGAGCGTGATTAACACTATCGTATCTACGTCATTCGCATTGAATATTAAAGTTTATTACATGTTATTTTGCTATGACATGATTTCTTTGCACGAAATTTTCAAAACATGTCTCGCATGCATTTTACTTTTCCTTCAAGAATTAGGCATGAAAAATTTTTTTGAGAGAAAATTTTTGGTTGCTGGTCCGTTATTCATGTGTAATCAGTTATTTCTGGCTATTGAAATGTCCCATGAAAACAGAGAACAGGAAATATTATACCGTGATTTTACGCTTTTAAAAGAATAAAATGCAAATTAAGAACTTTCAAATACAATAAATGAATGAATCGAAATCTTCCCAGTCACATAGACTTCACTCAAGTCAGTCATGAAAGATGAAACCATGTACAGGATCGCAGTTAAATGTTGGGTTGCCGTTGAAGTAACAGTCATTTTTGCTATTTGTAGCATATTTTATTATATTCCAGGTGAGAAACCTACGTTGTTTATATGTCACGCCTTAACCAAAACAATCATTCGTTTCTTTGGTCATTTTTTCCTGTAATGCAGGCAAATAAGCTCAAACTAAAATTTACAAACCTTACAGATGTAAAATTTTATAAACTAAATATACAGATAACAGAAGTAAAAGCTTGTTAGCTCTGTAAAGAGGGCCTAAAATTTAGACCTCGCAGAACAATGGTCAAGCTAGTAACGGTAGATCGAATTGCTTTTACAAGTTCACATAAAATTTCGGAATTCGTAGTTTAAAATGGCATATACATTAAAGATACTCGTATATAGGTATAAATGTAATACAATCTTATGTTAGACAGCTAGTTCATACGTATTTTAGGCAACATAAAATTTTTGTATGCATTTGGACTCTTCTTAAATTTAAATGTGGGCTTTGTACTGGTTGTCCAATCAACCATAAAACTTTTTTCTAATCACATACATATTGTCTTGATAAACAAGTGCGTCCTTTCACATAACAAAAAAAAGGCTTATAATGGTGCACTAACTTTCACACCAATATATGACATCTCTTTTTTCTGTCAAAATGATCATGATTAATGTCTTATGATTTTCATGAATAACTAGGTTTAGGGTTTGTGCTCGAGAATGGTATGAGAAAAGTGACGGGATTAAATATCCCTAAAACCAACTACTGGGAAACATTTCTTGGATGGGAAATGTTTAAGTCAGTTTGGAAATCAAGAGTTGTCGATATTACAAAGGAAATGCGAAACGGACTGGAGGCACAAAATGTTCCCTTGGTAACACCCGATGGAAAGAAATGTGTGCGTTTACTTGATTTACTTCAAGCTGAGAGAGCATTAGTCGTGTACTTTGGCAGTTGTAGTTGCCCAGTGTTTATGAATAAACTGAAAGAATTTGGTGTTCTAGCTCAAGACTTTTCAGATATCGTGGATTTTGTCGTTGTATATATTGAAGAAGCACATCCCATTGATGGATGGTCTTTCAAGGTAAATTCTTTTATTTCTTCAACATAATTTTGAATTGATGAAAATCGTAGAGTTATATTATAGCTATGTTATTCATTATGAAGAATAGTTTTTCAGTATAACATGAAAGAGAAATTAAACGGCTACAGCAATTTCGTAATTTATAAAACATTCTTTGTATAACCAGAATAATAATAACGGCATATAAATTTCATCAGGTAAAATCTTTTGCAAACACTCATAACATTTTAGTAGGCTATATAGCCAGACAATATGTTCTGCTGACATAATAATAGCTTTTTTATCTTACTGATAAAAATGGGACCTTTTTCAAAGGCAGAAATACTGAACTTCTTTTGAACTATACTTTCATTAGGCAAAAACAAAGATGTTGTTTGAAAAAGAATCGTCTCTTTCATTATTTGACAATCTTTTGTGTATAGAAAAACATGTCTTAAGATTTCTTGATAAAGTCATTAAGGGAGCTAATTTCACTTCATTTTAGAATAACTTTATCAAAGTACGAAAGCATCGAAATCAATATGAAAGATGCAAAGCCGCGCAAAAGCTACAAGAACTCAATCTTCCATGTCAAATAATGGTAGATACAATGGACGATAATGCAAATGTGGCCTATGGAGCGTTGCCTGAGAGACTCTACGCCATCGAAGAATGTAAAGTCGCATACGTGGGTGGACAGGGACCAATGAATTCATCAATGAAAGCAGCACGTGACTGGCTAGAGTCATATCGCGAGAAAAACACATTTAGAAGATGGACAATCTAACCCAGCGAGTAAGAACTGTACAGAATGCAAACTTCGTATAATGACATTTTGACATATTTTGGCCTTGAGGTTGAGACTGTTGTTTCTTTATCCCAAAACATTTTTTAAGCGATTGACAATGCCCTAATGTATGATGTTGTACCGATATGGAAAAACATTATTCAAAAGTGAGATTTTTACAAAGATGCGTCGACAAAGGAGCTTTGAAAACTTATACACACACGTGCATATTTTTCTTGTAATTTTTAAAAGCTTAAAAATACAAGATAATGTAGGGTTTCTATGCTTTTAGTAGATCTAAAGGTGGATCATGAATTTAATTGAAATGAATCGACTGTTAGGAGCAACCAAAGTAGAACATGCATATATGAATATTTGCCCCAATTATCGAGCTTGCGCAGGCTCTGAGTAGTTACGTAGTTTACGATTTATGTTTAAAATACAAAACACAAAACTATAAACATTGATATGAGTATTTCTGGAACAAAAAATTATTGATGTCGTGTCAAAATGGAGGGCGTAGGGCAAATATACCCCGGCCAGTATAAAATAAAGCTTTGCTTGCAGTGATGAACGAATGCTTTATCGTAACATGTTCAAAGTTCGTGATTTACATGAAGCAGACATTCCAAAATGATATTTTCTCGTAGACGTTGCTGACACGAACTGAGTGCAAGAACAGGGCGTTTTTTTTGTATTCGCACATCAAGGTTACCATAGAAACCAAACAAAACCACAAACGACTTGTGTTGCTAATGACCAGGTCTGAAAGATTAACGTGCGACATACGTATAAAGGACCTAGGTTTCTGCCGTTTATAAAACAGATCACTGGGGAGTTTTAGTCAAAACAGGCAATCGAGGCAATTGAAATCTATCGCAAATACCAGTTTTTGCATGTCAATACTTGGGCTTCATTTAAGGTTAATGGCAAAAGTTTTAAATCGTAGGATAGACATGCAAACCTGCCACTTTTAAATCATTTAAGAGACAATACTGATGGAATTTAGTATGGATAAGTTTAAGGAGCCAGTATTGAAAGCCATATAATTGTATTACGTATTGTATACAAAAAGGAATCAGAAATAAGTTTGAAAAAGTAGAAACATTTTTATGAGGCACAGTTAACGCTCTTGAAGGCATTTGCGTGAAAGTTATATACTCTTGATATTTAATGTGCAAGAGAGAACCAATAATTTAAATATGCAAATGTCAATGGTAGGCTACAAGCGCAAGCCAAAAACCAAGTTTCAAACGACTTTCTCTCCCTTACAACTTATAATAGTCCGTATAATTTCGCCATTCAACTGTCAAAAAGAACTGCTCAATTTTCTTTTTTTATACAGGAAGACGTTATAGCTTATAATACAAATTTACATTTTGTTGTTAATAATATTTAACAACGGTCAGATGTCCCACAACAGTCACAAATGACATTTGACGTATATATATGTTTGTAGATGTAGATCGCCCATGACAATAAAGTCCTAAGAAGGACTTTTCGTGTTGATGTTGACTGACCTTTCGACAACCTTAGCGGTAGTCATCTTCAGAGTTCCCGGGTTCAAACCATTCACTTTAAGACATATACAGTCGAACTTCATTCCAACAGCACTTAGTGAAAGGAAAATTATTCAGCGGATAAGAAGAATCTGGACAAATTACTGAATTATACGTCCAAAGCCAAGAATGAATGTTGAATGTCGTGGAATGGTATTGGTAAGGTCGAAAGATCAATGCTACTCCAAAAGCGAACTTGCTAGTGAAGTGGGTTACAGCTAAAGAAATGTCAGTGACCATGTAGCGAGTAAGAGCTGTAGAAACTATGGCCCAAAACTAAAATCCCAAGAATGAACAGTGGGAGAGTATCCACATTGCTTGGGGAAATTATCACGTGATAGCCTAAAATCCCTTCATACGTAGATAGCATGGCTGGAGGAAGGCTTACCAATAACTATTTAGTTGGTGGTTTTCATAGATTGACTTTACACTCTCCAGCAATTGGCCGTAACGACATGTTTTGAGTTTTTTTTTAGTGTATAATTACAATGTTTCATTACAATTATACATTGAAATATTTACAAATCACCTACAACTCATTTCACATATTTTATTAAAACAGAGATAAAATATTTTGGTGTAAGTAAGTTGTTATTGAGAAAGCGTAACTTTATTGTGCAGTGGTTTTACTTTATGGTTTCTTGATAGCCCAACACGTAATGGCGGACCTGAATTCTTAATTTTAACACTGCCAATGCAAAAAGAGCCGCTAGTTTTGTTTGTAAACAGTTTAGGTGAAGAAAATGTTGAGATTGTCCCCTCATTTTTCATATGCTTAACGCTCTCTTTAGAAGAATTTATAGGTGATGACATTTTCTCCTTTGTACCAACGCAAGAAAATGAGGAAATTTTCCCTTCATTTTTCAAATGCTTAACGTTCTCTTTCGAAGAATTTATAGGTGATGACTTTTTCTCCTTAGTACCAACGCAAGAAAATGTGGAAATTTTCCCTTCATTTTTCGAATATTCAAAGTTCTCTTTGGAAGAATTTATAGGTGATGACTTTTTCTCCTTTGTACCAACAACAGGGGTGCATTTGTAGTCGGATGACTCTTTTTAAAACAAATGTGTATCAAAAATTTGTTATTATAAGCACTCGTCAGAAGAAAAACTAATAAGAATAACACGAAAGACAAGCTGCGAGCAAATGCAATTACGTATGTATCAAACTGTTTTGATATTTTGATTGTATAATCATGCCAACTGCATTTTGGTTATTTCATTATATGCAAATAGGACACTTGAAATCAATGACAATTTTTATAAATACAAAAATAAAAGCCTACCGGAAAACATATGACTCCCACCAGACATTTTCTTGCCGTTCTTCAGGTTCACAATTTTCTCTTCATTGGAATCACTTTCGACATCATTGTCATGAATCTTGTTCACTTTAGCACTACTCTTATCGCAGGTGTCACGTGCATCGCTGGTGTCGCGTGCATCATCATCTTAATTAGATTAAACGAGTAAGAGAGCAATCAGCATTATATGTACATGGTAATGCATCTTACATAATAATGATCATGTATTTTCATTTTGAATCACACACTACAATACCATGCAAAAAGTCAATTAGAAAGTTCATCGCACCATTAAAAGTAGTACTACATGCAACACATCACTATCTTCATAGGTACATCACTATCTTCATAGGTACATCACTATCTTCATAGGTACATCACTATCTTCATATGTACATCACTACCTTCATCCATACATCACCACCTTCATAAATCCCCACTCCACCTTTATGTATCCCCACCCTACCTTCATACATCCCCACCATCATACATCCAAACCTTCATGCATCCACAACTTGATACATCCTTAACTATATAAATATCCACCCTTATACATACACACCTTCATCCATACACACCTTCATATGTCCACAGTTTTAAACATTCCTAATTTTAAGGCTACCCAGTTATAACTGTGATTGATGGATATATGCTACTATGTGCCTAAATTCAACAGTTAAATTCAGACCACTAAGAGTGGTGACTAGTTTATAAAACTCTGAGAAAATCCTTCGCTGTCCTCATTTAGGACAGTATAACAAAGTTGTCATTTTCAAAACTTGTGCTTTTGACTGATTACTCTGTAAACATTATGAGTTTAAAATTAAGGGCTTTGTGATGGGGAAAAAGAGTCTTACTAAAAATGTGAATTTGAGGTATATGTAAGACAGCATTATATAATGCTTAACAATGAAGAACTTTAAAAATTCTAAAATCATTGTTTGAATTGGATTTACTTCATTACTGCGTAGATTAAGGCAGCTTCCCAAACTTTTTTCCTCTTTCATGATGTAATCACTTTCCAAATTTTCGCAGTTTCATTTATAATTTTACATACCGATACCTTCACTGTTTATTTTGATATGACTGCTTTCCTTTTGTCCAACATCATTATCCTTTCTGTCACAAGGTGTACTTATTAGTGACATTTCAATTGCCTTTTCTATATCTCTTTGGTACAACTTTTCACGGACGGAAGGCCTTACAATAGAAAAAAAGTCTCAAGATGTTGTTGTATCAAACATCAAAAAAATTAGTGTGTACATTGGATTACACAAGGGAAAACAAAGGCTTATAAAGGGTTAGAGATCTACTACAATATCTGTGTAAAACAGCATGATGCTTTTTAGCCAAAATAAAAAATCTATTTATAGGTCACACCTTCTCTCGCCTTTCTTCTCTTTGTTCATTTCCTTCTCTTTACGCTTCGCCTTCTTTGTTTGTGGTTCAAAATCAACTTCAAAATCATCTGAAACATATCATGAAGTCATAAATACAAAAACTTAGCAATTTAAAACAAGAGAAATCTATAGAACATGCAGGCATGACATTGAAAAGGAAGTAAAGAATGGATCCCCGTGTATATTTATTGCATATCTATCAAATTAATAATCTCAACTTTTTCACAATAAAATAATGTAAAATGTTTAATAGTGCACTAGATCAATCATGCAGCCAGTAAATAATTGTGGGGACAACATTCACATTTGTTGCATCAGTATTTTTTTAAACAGTGTCTATGTAGGTACATGTAAACTGATATAATATAAAATATACCCTTCCCCTACCTATGTAAACCAGAGTGTATAAACACACACTTTACTGTAAAACAGAGCAATTATAATTTTCATTAATAGCTACGTAGCTATGAGATCACTGTATGTACAATACCTTACCATCACTTTCACAATTGGAGCTCATATCAGTATAATTAACATTTTTTCTCCCTTTCCTGCAAGAGATGATGGTGAAAAATAAAACATGAGTAAAGCTAAATGCTTGTAGATGTAGATCTTCAAGGTTAGAGCAGTCCTGAAAACGACTGTTGGTGTTGTTAATGATTGACATTTTGACATCCTTTGATCATCAGAGTCAAGTAACACACCAACACCAAGAATTCTTTTCAGGACTGCACAAAGCTGGACGATCAACATTTAAAAAATATAACATACTAGGCAATAAAAATTATAAATTCTAATATGAAAATCGTCCCTGCTTTATTAATCACCAATATTGTCAACCAACAGTAAAACATGTTTCACCCATACGTCAAAGTAGTGATAGTACAAATTTGAATCGAGTGACAAATTTTAAAATTCTTACCTTTTAGATTTTCGCTTAGAGGTCATCTTTAATGCATATTTACAAAATTAAAAAATATGCTATCAGAGAAAATACTAATGAAGTTAGGATTCAAGTTTAACTTCTCGTGGTTTTAACATGACTTTCATTATGTAGTTGAATAATCTTATAAAGTTTCGCGCCTAGGCGTCACTACACTGGATCATATCCATCAGGTGGTCATTTGTCCCATTGACACAAACAATAACAACTTTTCTCATGATTTCAACCCTCCGTTTTATTCCTTTTTTTGTGTTGTCCTTTCAATTTTTGCGTTGACTTTATCAAACTCTGATCGAATATAAGCATGAACGAAAATTGTAGTAGATTTTCATTCCTAAATCCTAATGTGTATCAAATGTGGTTTGATCTTTAACTTATCAACGTTTTCAGGGTGGGCGAACTACGTAATTTTCAATTTTAACAATTATCATTCCTCGCTTTGTTTCATTCACAGCGTGTTTCTATTTTGATTCTAATTAATAGACCTTTTCAAGGTTATCGTAGCCATATTGCAGGGGGTGCAAAAACATTGGGCCGAGCGCGCGGTCACGCATGGAGTCCATATAAATTACTAATAAATGCGCAAAAATTACCCTTTTACATATTGGCCATTTCTTCCAAAAATATTTCTCAAACTCATCCATTTTAATAGTAGCATTATTATTTGCGATTTTTTATACATGTGAGTCAAATTTTGTGGTAATCAAAAAGCGGAAAGTTAAAGAAAACATTTGTTTTCTTTGAACAACTTGACCGTCGTTTGAGCGATGTTCTTGAGTTCGCAACACACGCACATGTCTACAGCAAAGTCAGCAAGTATCACGAGGAACTATTCTACGGCGAACTCTTATTCTTAGTTTGATTTCTACTAGGCCATATAATGAGAACTGAGAGTTCCTTGAACATCAGTTTAATCCAAGTTATAAACGTGCTACTAACAGTAGCTGATGATATTTGAAACCTGAAAGCCAGATCATCAACAAGTAATGCCAAACGCAACTTCATCAAACACATAAGGAGCTCCTGCTGTGATGATAGTTTGCGAGCTGGACCAGACCTATAACCTCTACCAGCAAACAGTTGAAATGGTGTTTTTGGAGTCGCGGTTGTTTCATTTTGTGTCTGTGTGGGTCCACGCCAGTATTGCATATTACTAGCTTTTGGCAGCAAGTATTCAAATACACACTTAAAACTGTTAGTCGATGGCAGGCCGGTGTGAAACCTTACATCATACTCTCTCGTCAACTGTTCAAATTCTAAAGGGACAGGGAGTAAAGATGCCTCAGATTTTGCTGGATTTCCATCAAAACTTGAATGAGAATCCTCGGTTTTATAGGCTTGATGAGGACGCTTTGATGTCGTCCATGTTTCTCTTCCTTTACGTTTAAGCGGAGTCCTCGATTGCTCGTACTCTGATAGCGTAATAAAAACCGAAGGATAATCCGTTTCGCGGTTATTTGGGGTTCTTCTTCCCAAGGGAAAATGATTTGAGCAAACGAAAGTACCTTGTGCACCAGGCTTTGGGTTAAAGTCATCGGCTCAGCTGTTTGCAATTTGTTTTCGCCAAATTTCAGCAGGTGCTTGATCTTTGGGCCACTTATGAAAAACTAACTTTTCTACGTGAGACCTCTTAACTTGATAATCAGGCTAGCGTTTATCATTATCGCAATATCCAACTGCGCAACGCGCATTTTTTACCATTTCGGCTATGACTGCTCACGGCTACTCGGCTAGTTTAGGGTTTAGTTCGTTTGACTTGGCTTATGAGATCCGCACATTTGCGAACTCAAGAACATCGCTCAAACGATGGTCAAGTTGTTCAAAGAAAACAAATGTTTTCTTTAACTTTCCGCTTTTTGATTACCACAAAATTGAACTCACATGTATAAAAAATCGCAAATAATAATGCTACTATTAAAATGGACGAGTTTGAGAAATATTTTTGCAAGAAATGGCCAATATGTAAAAGGTAATTTTTGCGCATTTATTAGTAATTTATATGGCTCATTGCGTGACCGCGCGCTCGGCCCAATGTTTTTGCACCCCCTGTAATATGGCTACGATAACCTTGAAAAGGTCTATTGACATTTGCTTCATTTGTTACGATTGCAAACTTGACAAAACAAAGGAACTCTTTATTCAGAGTTTTTCTTTTCTATGGAGGGTTCTATAGTGCTCTCGAAACAACAAACCTTTCACTCGCAAATGCCAACGAGCAATTTTCTTCCCAGACCGATATTTTGGCAAATATTTTGGCAAATATAGACGAGGAATCTACACGTAAACCTGGTAGAAACGCTATTGTTGCTTCGGATTCTCCTTCAGGAACATTAGATCGAATGTTAGACCGAAATACATCAAAATCTGACGAAATGAAAAACTCTAATGATCAAACGGGTGAATTTGAAAGATTCGAGAACGTCGAACTTGAAAAGGAAGAGGTTAGAACTGTAATTTTTTAAAGGTTTATTTTGCAATCAATAAATCTAAAAGTCCACTCTGTCAAAATGTTGTTTTTGGATATAACTATTAAGAAATTAAGTTTTCTGAAAGTTATAATTCAGCACAAATGCATTTACTTGTCTTCTTTCATTTTCATTATATTCTACTCATTTTTGTTTCAGTGTATTTCAAACAACTGCTCAGTTTTGAAATCAGCCAACATGTAGAATTAGCTTGATGCAGGAAAAATTAATCCCCAAGGAAGCATAAATGCAATTGAAATAAATTTCATGTTTGAAATTTGCAATAAACAGTATCAGCAATTTGTATGTGAAATTTGTAGCTGTTATTTTACAACTTTCACCATTCCTTTTCACCATTTAGCAAACAACCATTTCCTTTTTATTCAGAAACATCCTGAACCCAAAAAGAAGTACCGTATGCAGAAGAATAATCCATACTATTTCCAGCATCCCTACTGCCGACTGATTATTGCTTATGTTATTGTCTTTCTCAATTTCCTGATATATGCAGAAGATCCTGTGTCACACAGTGTGGTTGAAGCCAAATTACCTGTTGTGGGAAATGATGTTGGTTTTCTAATCTTTAGGTAAGTAGTTTTTTGTGTAGTTGACAGAATGACCTGTGTCAATAGTACACAAGCCATTTGAGCAGGCTTAGAAATAGTTGATGGAAACTTTGAGAATAACATGATAAGGTGGTTTGAAATGGTAGCAAAAACATGCTCATTTCAAAATATAATTTTAAATTTTCTAAGTCCCAACCTAGACAATGTACAAATTGTACAAAGCACATTGCTCAATGTTATTTGATCTCTGCAGTTGAAAAGTTGACTATTTGTGATAGTGAAAAGTTCATGTCTTTTCTAAACATTGATTCAAATGTTGGCAAAACATTTGAATTAATATTTCTAACCTCTTTAGCAGATTTTAATATTTTTTTTCTGAGTACAAATTAATCAGAATATTATAATACTATACCACTGTTTTACACCTTTTATACATTCATAGATATCCTGTCATACTCCATGATTCCATCATACAATACCATACTTCCTCTCCTAGGGCCCAGTCATATGGTTTTTCTAAACCAACAAAGACATAACTAAGCTCCCCTTTAAAAGCTCTGTAGTTCTCAATGAGAAACCTCAAAGAAAATAATGCAACTGTAGTACTTTTTCCTAACATAAAACCCTATCATTGCCAGAACCATAATTTGGGACGTAGGCAATATTCATAGATGCAGTATATGCCATATTAAGCTCCTTTGAAATGTACTGTTGTTCAGCGGATTATGACATTAATTTATTAATATTTGCCCCCTTCAATTATTGCGCTAGCAGCGCTACTGCTTTCTCACCATGCAACGTATCGTACTGTACAAGTCATCTTATGATCTTTGTTTTAGCTTTTGCCACTTGGAGATACACCACTACAGATCTTGTGATGTATCATCCTTTACTCCTGTTTTTTAACGGGAGTCTATCCATCATCTAACTTTTTTTCGCTTATCTCCCACAACGTAGGTCTCTTTATTTATGATCTTTTAAGAAGAAACACCAAGTACGTACTTTTAAACCTGTCTTCCTATCGCTTTCAATGCAGTAGTCCAGCCATGTGGAAGCACATCATGATCACCTACCCTGTCTTCGCTCTCCTCTAAAAATTACAAACTACACTTTCCTTTTTATTTTCCACCACTATGTTTTCGGTCATGCCTTTTCATCTTCCTCACCACTATAGTTGTCCTGCTCATCACTTTTCTACGTATGCTTTCTGGCTACACTTAGGGGCTGTTTACATGTGCCCAACAGGGAGGGCTGGCCCTAACAGACGAGATCTCGCGTGTTATTAAAATTCCATCTAAAATCACTTTTCGTTTACATGAGAGGAGGGCCAGCCCAACCAGCCGAGATCTCGCTATTGTTTACCCGAGATCTCGCAATGTAGGACTGGTAATTTCCCATCCTAACGCATTCGGTATTGCATTTGCATGCGATAAGGCATCGCTTTTCATCAATGGCGACAAGAAAATTAAGACATCAACGGATCAAACAAACTAAGAAAGCATAAAAAATCAAAAGGCGACAACTATATTGGTTTTTTTTCAGCTATTTTGTATTCTAGAGCCGAAATTCGCCGTTCAAACCGAACTCTTGATGTAGGGCTCGCCCTTTCCGTAGGGCTCATGTAAATAGCCTCTTAGTAGCTATGATTTTGATATCCAACGTTTCGTTATTATTTCTGCAATATTGTGTGATTTTTAGATATCCACCTAGAGGATGGTTTGTGCTGAAACTCTTCTTTTTCTTATGTGGTGTAATAACTGGCATGTTGATTGGGAAGTTTATAACCCACAAGCGTTTTATATGGAGATTTCTCAAACTGCGCATGTTCCATGTTTTGTCCCATAAAGAAAAGATTGAACGAAGTTATGGAATGGTGTTTTGGTATTTTTGGCATTGACATTTTTTTGTGAATGTTTAAAACTTCTGATGAAGTAATGAGTTGTTTAATTACACGGAATGAGCGCTGCACTGACTTTTATATAGTTTTGTAGTGGCTATAGCAACAATGTTTTTAATTGAGGTATATTTGGCATGCCTCATTTTTTCTTACTTCAAATTTGATGTTTTCACCAAGTAGTTATTCATTATCAATCTATAGTGTTTTTAACATGGATGAACTAAAAGTTTCAATTTTATTAGCACTTCTTATTTGCAAATGTTAACATTGTCGTTTTTGACACGTTTAGCGTCATTCTGAACACATTCTGAACATTGTCTATTCAATTGACAAAAATAAAGAACTTTACAGTGTAGATTAAACTAAAACCTCCTATTGCTTATGCTATATTCCTGTAGCCCAAAAAAAAATACAGTCTTATACTTTTTGACTTCCGTACTAGTTATGACGCCAGAATGAACAAACATGGCGTCAAGAAAGTTTGCAGACGAGCACCACCTAACCTTCGTAGTTAAAACTGGGCAACTTTCACACAACGTAAAATGATGACTACACATATCATATTAGCTACTAATAAATGTTCCATATTTTTTTCTTTGTGTTTCTAGAATGGGTGGAATTTACGCCTTTCGAATATGGCTCTCGAAGACTTGGTGTTTTTGGAAAAACGTCACACTTTGGCGTAAAGTATTACAAAGGCCGTTTAGTTACAGAGTATGGCGAACCTCCATTGCATTTTCTGCAAGGTAATTGATTCATACATATTGCACTAAAAAGAGAATACCCGTGTTAGATATTTTACATGAGTCACTCATGTTTTAAAAGTTCGATTACATTAAGTGAGCAAAAATTTTTCGAGGATTTTACGAATTATTGATGAATGTCAAGCAAAATATATAGTGTTAACAAAATCCACTTATTTCTCTTTATGAGACAGGTGTATGGGGAAGTGCTTTCAGCATCATATTGAATTCATTGAAAGACGATGACGAAAAACGTGGCAAAAATCACAAAGATGAATTAGGTAAAGGAGTCGTAACGATGAAATTCATATATAATCAGATCGTAAAAATGTTTTCAGCTCTATATTTAGTTTTCAAAGCTCTCGAACTTGACTGTTGCACTCAAACTTAACGATTTGACGTTTAGGCTTAATGAACAGAGCTTCTTCACTTAACAGCTAGGTTCCATACCAAAAAAAAACAATGACGAAAATTGCTCAAAAAAACATCCTACAGCAAAGCAGGCTTTATTCTGGAGGGCAGTGGTTTATTGATTTCCCAATAATTTTTAATTGGGGGTTGGATAAACTATAACTTGTACTCAAATGAAACTTTGGAAAAAAACGATTTTTCGTTGAACTGCTTTCTTTCCATATTTCATGAAGTTGCGTATTACAATCCATAAATGTCATTTTCACGAAGTGGCGTATTACAATCCATAAATGCGATTTTCTTTAGACAACAATAAAGCATTGCGAAGTTTATCGTCAAAATCGATTTTTTTTGTTTTGCAAAATGTAAACTTGGTTTCACAGTTAAAGTCATCTTATTATTTTTACTTTAATAGTGTCTGCAATCAAGATAGATGTTGATAACTGTAAGACAGAAGAAAATGACAGCGAAGACGAAGACAAAGACAAAAATAAACCCGAAGACGAAGTAGACAGTACGTTTATGTTATTTTTTATTCCCTCTTTCTTTGATTGGATTAGTTGGAGAACAGTAATGTATAAATTTGGCAAAAATACTTTTACTGCATGAAGCTTACGTATATATAGTTATATCACAAACTTCGGGACATAGAAAATGAAGATATATGTTTAGAACATTGTGTAGTCAAAAGAAAATCTCCCTCGATCAGTAGTAACAAATCCAGCCCGTTTCTTACCACTAGAATTCAAATATTTCTGTGTTTAATCACTGGAAATACAATGAATGGAATTCTCCTCTGCCCTTAATCCTAAGTATGACATAAAATGCTTGTATCTAGCTACTTTTCATTTTTGTTCAATTTTAATAATGATTTTTTCTTGACAATTTTAAAATTTTGTTAAAATCCTGCAAAATGAAAACTATTATGCAATGCAATTGAGAAATAAAAGATGTTTACTGTATTTTCACAGGCTTATGAAACCTAGGAGACTTTTTGGGGAACTCGAGAATTAATAATTAACAATTCGCCATGACATTTGCGATTTTCAAAACAATGTTTTTATTTCGTATTTAACTTTCCTTCTAGATAAAGGTTGGGTGACGCAGATGTTGAACCCCAAAAATATTTTTGCAACTCGCAAAGGAAAAGCCGCTGAATGCTTTGACTTTTGCCGTGGACTCAAGTTAAAAAACAAAAACGGTAACACTTCATTTTATGAATCATTTTTGACCATGATCTTTTTTGCCAAAAATAATGCAGTTATACAATTTGCGTTTCAGTGTCAAAATCGTTTTGAGAAAATGTACTTCATTGTTGGAGAAATTTAGTTTATGTTTTTATCGTCAAAAACATCATTGGATAAAATCACAAACTTTCCTGGGTTTTTATTCTTGCATATTTGTAAGAAATTACCTGAATTGTGACGATTAATATTGTTTAGCCAAAAACCATGACCAGCCGACAATTTGAAGGAATATAGTATAAACCAAATTCCGAAGAAACAAGACATCTTGGGATTGCAAAATATGCATCAAAACATAACGTGAAGTGAACTGTAAATTTTCAACTTTATTTCAAAGTCATCCTTAGACAGAAAGATTCTGTCAAGATGTCTTGCTTTTTCGGAATTTGCTTTATACTATATTGTTTAGCCACTTGTCCGTCTTAAAAACCTCGTGCTCTCCACTTCTCCACTCTTATGTCCACTGTTCTCTAAATAATCATAGATCTGGACCATTTGATCTTCAATTTATTTTGGACCAGTAGTGAAGCTTGCGCGTTTTTTTACTCCTACAATGCAAATTTTTTGGGCTTATGCAATCACTGGAAAAACAATGAATGTAATTAACTTTCTTTAAAGAATGAATAATAATCATGCTGGTAAATTTGCATTGCAGTAGTAAAGGATCGGGATGACTTTGCTACTATTTTTAGAAAAAATATGTAGAGAACAAAATTTTATGTATGATAAAATATCCACGTAATTTTTTTTTCTGTATTTGCGATCTGTAGTCATGCAGTAATATTGTTTGTGTAAAGCTGGTTTGAATTTTTTTACAACACAACCTGCCTATAGGAACTGTTGGTGGTAAGGACGCTGTATTCAAGAACAAAACCATGTGTGTTGTTGATAGTGGTATAGCTTTCAATTCACCATTTCCTGTTCTACTGAGACCAGAAAGAAAAGTTGAATTAATTTTGTCGTTCGACTTCAGTCAAAGAGATAATGGAGACAAAGAACCTCCTTTTCATGTGAGTCACTTCACATTTATTTGCAAGTTTTATTCTATTGATGGTTATTTCTATCAAATGAGTTGTTTTAATGCAGCACTAATTTTTATTTCTATTCACGTGATGTCAACTGATTTTCGTGATTTCGCGCATAAACAACGTTCAATCATACTTTCCGACGGTAAACACACGTGTCAAAAATACGAGATCAAATTAGAAAGTTCGGAGAATCAAATGGTCGGACATAGTATTGTATATGTAGAATAGTGGCAATTAAATAGAAAGAAGATGCTCTTGAGGCATTTGTAAATCTTAATTTAGAAATCCAAAACGGCTAATTATAAAGCCAGAAGGTGTAAGAGTAAATAAAAACCATTTTCCGTCAAATCAAAAGAAAGCTTAGATATGACATACAATATGCAGATAAAAGTTATAGAGGAAAGTAAAAACATTTTTAACGTTGTCACGGATATTAAGCTTGCATTTTTCAAAGCAAGCTTAAGAAGACAAAGAGCGTGCCAAAAATATATGATTGAAAACTTGCTTAGCGCATCTACAAGCGCCAATTTCAGAGTTTGCTCTGTCACAAATTACTTGACAATGAATTTGAGCATACGTAGTCAACTCCATCAACTCTCCAAGTTCATGATCATGGCAATGATCAACTCGATGTACTAGTAACGATTATGGAGTATTTAGATAGCTCAATCACAAGTTTTCAGATAAATCATCTGCGCATGGGCAGTCTCCTTGAGCATGCGTACAGAACTCCACAAACTCTCGAAGTTAATGGATATGGCTACGACCAACAGTATGTACTAGTAACGATTATGGAGTATTTAGATAGCTCGATCACAAATATTCAGATAAATCATCTGCCCATGTGCAGTCTGCTTGAGCATGCAGCCCAGGTTTATGGTCATGGCAACAACCAACTGCATGTACTATCACCGACTTTAAAGTAAATAGAATGATTAGTAACAATTTAATACAAAAATCATCTGCGCATGCTTGAGCATGCGCCTTCTAATTGACTAATTGTTCATTGTCATGGCAACGACTAACTATATGTACTTGCACTACATTTGTGGCAATTAGCTCACTTAGTCGCAAATTATCGAAGAAATAATCTGGGCATGCGCAATAATACCACAACATTCTTAAGCCTTTAAATTTATGTATATATATATATAAAGCCAAAACTTCATGTAGTAGATGTCAATTAGCAGTGGAAGCTGGGTGCGATATAGTATGCAGTGGCTTAGGGGCCCACACTTCAGTGGCGACCGCACTCTCCGTGCGTACCCCGAGCAAAGCCTATCGCAGGTGATCTCGGGGTCTGATGGGCGGAAACTTGCTATTGCATCTCCTAAGTAGGATAGCGTTGAGAGGCCGAAATCTCCTACCGAAACGTTAACATGCGGCGTTCTAAAGCCTTACGCTTAACAAGGTATCGAGAAGCATGGACCGAAAACGGGGTTTTTTGCTTTTGAATTTTATCTTTTTGTTTATCTCATAAAAAAATAGAACATTCAAGGATAATGCAAAGGTTAAAAAACTTCTGCCTCTTTGACTATACGTTTTTTGCATGTTACCTTTTGCAATGTAACTTTCTCTTAACTCACTCGTGATGAACGAGAGCCTGCTTGTATAGTGTAACTCTCATGAACGAAAGCACTCACGTGCTATGTGGAAGAAGGGATCATATACTTTTTTAGTGATAGTTTTTACAAAGATTTTTTACATAGATAGTTTTTACAAACATTTAATAAGCCAAGCCATCGTCTAAATTGAACCCTTATGTCATAAAATTTATTTCATTTTGTAGAGTAAATTTCTTTTTTAATGATTCAATCTAGAAAGTAACTTCACATATCGAGTAACTTTGCGATTAAACAGTACAATTTTCCGATTGAAAAGACTTCTTTTGATCGCACAGAGACAGTCGTCCGGTTTGTTACGTAGATGTATGTAGTATGTATTTCGTTGTAAGAACCCACCCCATCAAAGATTATCCAGATCCAATTTTAGCTGCATCGAGCGAAGAAAATTGCAAGTCATTGAAATTTTTATAGCTAAAGTTTAAATTCCATTTTTACTTATATAACTTGTAAATGAATCTGAAAATCTAATTTTAGGGAGATTTCATCCATCAATAATAATAATATTGATAAATGATTATAAGACAGCGAAACCAACATGTAGTAAAAATAGCAATTAGAAAATTTGTATGGCTTGCTTTTTAGCGCTTTGTGTAGTTGGAATTTGTCCTGGATATTCTAAGTCACGCCTTAAAGGCCAGTAACAACCTTTACAAAAAAGTCATTTGCACGACAACATGCCAATATCCAAGCTTTCTTTCGATCGCTGTGCTTTTTTCTAACCAAAAACAATTAATATTTACTGTTATGCCTTCTGCTTTTATAAATAATCGTTCTGAATAGCTATTATACGATTCAAGAATGCCCCAAAACTCAAAATCATCTCCAGACAATTTTAGCCACATATTATTGCTACTATTCTATTCACAAACAGTACTACGTTCGACTAATTGATTCTCCGAATTTTGTAATTTGATCTCGTATTTATTGACACCTGTGTCTACCATCGGAAAGGGGAATTAAATAGAAACGATCTAGTCTGTTTGATTAAGTTGCACCTAGCTTTTAAAACCACGGCTATTACAAAAAGGTGTTATTTTCAACATGTAGAACCTATGCTTTTCCTTCTTTTATCCAGGAACTGTTGAAAGCAGAGAAATGGGCAAGAGAAAATAAATATCCCTTTCCAAATATTAAGGATAATCCGTTGGTCAAAGATTCAGAGGCCAAAGATTCTGAAATTCGTGAATGTTATGTATTTAAAGATGAAAATGATCCGAATTGCCCAACAATTTTACATTTTCCAATTGTAAACAACTCCTTTCGAGAGTATCTTAGCCCAGGTGAATAAATGCCAAACATACGGATGTGCCTTTTAATGCAATTATCTCAAATAAAGAAGTATCTTCCATATGTCACACGTAAAGGAAGTATCTTCCATGTGTCACAAGCAAAGGAAGTATCTTCCATGTGTCACATGTAAAGGAAGTATCTTCTATGGGTCACAAGAAAAGGAAGTATCTTCAATATGTCACACGTAATGAAGTTTCTTCCATATGTCACACGTAATTAAGTATCTTCCATGTGTCACACGTAAAAGAAGTATCTTCCATGTGTCACACGTAAAGGAAGTATTATCCATGTGTCACACGTAAAGGAAGTATCTTCCATATGTCACACGTAAAGGAAGTATCTTCCATGTGTCACACGTAAAGTAAGTATCTTCCATGTCACGTAAAAAGTATCTTCCATGTGTCACACGTAATGAAGTATCTTCCATGTGTCACACGTAAAGGAAGTATCTTCCATGTCACACGTAAAAGAAGTATCTTCCATGTGTCACACGTAAAGAAGTATCTTCCATGTCACACGTAAAGGAAGTATCTTCCATGTCACACGTAAAATCTTCCATGTGTCACACGTAATGAAGTATCTTCCATGTGTCACACGTAGGAAGTATCTTCCATGTGTCACACGTAAAGGAAGTATCTTCCATGTGTCACACGTAAAGGAAGTATCTTCCATGTGTCACACGTAAAGTATCTTCCATGTGTCACACGTAAGAAGTATCTTCCATGTGTCACACGTAAAGGAAGTATCTTCCATGTCACACGTAAAAGAAGTATCTTCCATGTGTCACACGTAATGAAGTATCTTCCATGTGTCACACGTAAAGGAAGTATCTTCCATGTGTCACACGTAAAGGAAGTATCTTCCATGTGTCACACGTAAAGGAAGTATTTTCCATGTGTCACACGTAAAGGAAGTATCTTCCATGTGTCACACGTAAAGGAAGTATCTTCCATGTGTCACACGTAAAGGAAGTATCTTCCATGTCACACGTAAAAGAAGTATCTTCCATGTGTCACACGTAATGAAGTATCTTCCATGTGTCACACGTAAAGAAAGTATCTTCCATGTGTCACACGTAAAGGAAGTATCTTCCATGTGTCACACGTAAAGGAAGTATCTTCCATGTGTCACACGTAAAGTATCTTCCATGTCACACGTAAAGTATCTTCCATGTGTCACACGTAATGAAGTATCTTCCATATGTCACGTAAAGGAAGTATCTTCCATGTGTCACACGTAAAGGAAGTATCTTCCATATGTCACACGTAAAGGAAGTATCTTCCATATGTTACACGTAAAGGAAGTATCTTCCATATGTCACACGTAAAGGAAGTATCTTCCATATGTCACACGTAAAGGAAGTATCTTCCATATGTCACACGTAAAGGAAGTATCTTCCATATGTCACACGTAAAGGAAGTATCTTCCATATGTCACACGTAAAGGAAGTATCTTCCATATGTTACACGTAAAGGAAGTATCTTCCATATGTCACACGTAAAGTAAGTATCTTCCATTTGTCACACGTAAAAGAAGTATCTTCCATGTGTCACACGTAAAAGAAGTATCTTCCATATGTCACACGTAAAAGAAGTATCTTCCATGTGTCACACGTAAAAGAAGTATCTTCCATATGTTACACGTAAAGGAAGTATCTTCCATGTGTCACATGTAAAGGAAGTATCTTCTATGTGTCACAAGAAAAGGAAGTATCTTCCATGTGTCACACGTAATGAAGTATCTTCCATTTGTCACACGTCTAGGAAGTATCTTCCATGTGTCACACGTAAAGGACGTATCTTCCCAATGGCAAATTGACGTTTATTCAACCCAAAATTTACTATTAAAGTTTATATCACCCTCCATTTGTAAAACGTTTATAATATTCATTTGAGCATTTAAATATTCTTAAAAATATACAAATGCTTGTTTTGTAGTTCCTTCAAACTTGCAGAAAATGATCTGATTGTTTAGTATAAAACTAAATAAAAAATTGACCAATCAGATTATCTGCCGTTTTTTTTGAAAATGCACACTACAAAAGCGGACATTTGAATGTTTATACAAATATTTGAATGTTCCAGTCATGTTTTCAAAAGCAAGGTGAAATCGACGCTTTTATTAACTTAAACTAATTTTGAACCTTTTGTGATTTATTCTACACAATGATGATTCTTAAAAACAATCGGGGTTTTTTTTTGAAGGTGTGAAGAGAGAGAAAGATGACGACATAAAGTTTGCAAACTTTGACATTTTTGACGACCCCGATGAGCCTTATTCCTCCTTCAAATTTGAATACAAGCTCAAAACGTTCGAAAGATTGCATGAACTAATAAAATACAATACGCTCGTAAGCATTGATCTGATCAAGGGAAAAATAATCGATATTGTAAAGTACAGGCGAAAGCACAGAAAGTATGCTAAGAAACACTCAGGAAAAAAATGTTAACAATAGTTTTAGTCCCTTCACTTGTATACCAATATACCAAAATAATCCACATCGTATAAACCAACCTAACATTTAAACTATTATTTGTTAGTGCCCGTTTGTAGTGTTAGTAGATTAATTTGCTTTATTATTTGTAATTCCACAGACTTACATTTGTATTACATAATAAGCGTGTATGTATTTGATGTAGTACTTACGTACGAGTAAAGCTCATAAATAAATATGATCAAAAGTTCATAATAAGTAATATCTTACATTTACTTTTCTACCTCCAAAGTCCTAGCTTTATATTCAGGCTGTTTTCTAATGTAAGTACTTACGTAGAGATAAAATTCACAAATAAATACAATCAAAAGTTCATAACAGGCTAATGTTTACTTTTATTTTTCTACTTCCAATTGCAGTGTCCTATAACTTTATATACGAGTTGACCTCCTATGACTTCTTTAATAACCTAACTCCACTGTCTCATCTTTAGACGAGGTTAACTTTAATTTAATTCCACTCTCTTTCCTTCACTTTACTACTTTCCCCATGACCTCCTATGCCTGCTATACTAACCTACCTCCACTGTCTCATCCTTTGAGGAGGTTAACTTTAATTTAATTTTACTCTTCTTCCTTCACTGTCTACTATCACCATGACCTACTGTGCCTTACTTCTATACTAACCTACCTCCACTGTCTCACCTTTAGATGAAGTAAACTTTAATTTAATTCTACTCTATCACTATGTAAATTCTATATATATCAACATGTAAACATGATGGCTTTCTTTAAAAAGATAAAGAAGAAGAATATGGCGTGGATGATTGGACCAACGACTGGGACATAGAGTAGACACAAAGGTAGACAAAAAGGTAGGCATAATGGTACACAAAAATTTTTTCATGCCATGTAAACTATAAGCATTGTGTCTATACAATGGCAATATACATAATAAATTTGTTGTTTGATAAAGTCTATGGACTCACACATTTCACGGTACAGATGTTGGACCTACGGGCGTGATTAACACTATCGTTTCTACGTCATTAAATTGAATATTCAATTTTATTACATGTTATCTTGCTACGACATGATTTCTTTTGTACGAAATTTTTAAAACATCCGTGTAAAATTTTTGTTCATTGTTGTTGTTACAACACACAAGACACAGTTGAAAGCTCGTTTTAAAGAGTACCTACCTTGATTAAGCATGTCTCCCGAATATGCGCCGCATCTAAAGTTACAAATATTTGAAGAGCGCCGCACTTTCTTAAACCCGTAAATACGGTAATTGAGTTGTTTGATTGAGCTCAGATCAATTTTTAAAGAGAAATACAAACTTAACTGCAAACGAATCATTGTATGTATTGTTGGTATTATTTAACTGTGGGTGAAAAGTGATGACGGTAAATGTTCCTTGATTTGTGCTATAAATATTCTTAATAAAAATTATAAATATTTAAAGTAAAATAATATTGATAGTAGGTCAAATATAAACACCTAACTAAAGATAACCTTTATGACAGTGAAGTTATATATAGCTCACCTGTGTATTTTATATATAAATTGCAGTAAAAGCTGGATTCATTATCCATCAATTTGCACTCAAGCCAGTCAAACCATTTGTCTTTATAAGCACGTGATAATAGCACGTGAGAACACGATGCAAGAATGTGAGTGTTTAGTGCACAAACAAATGAAACGTAATTTAAGCGAGAGCGTACGGGTAATAAAGAAAGTTCATGACAATTATTGAGTCTTGACTAAACATTGCGCACAAGAAGAAAGTTTCACTAAAGAAAGGTGGTAAAGAAATGGATAATTTTATTATCCTATTTACTTTTTTTATATTTACTAAAAGAAAATGTCCGTGGGACTTCACTAAAGATATTTTTATAAAGGTTTTATAAATGTTCCTTATATTTTTATGTACGGTGAGTATTATTTGAATTCCACTCACATGTACGCATTACGTATTTAAAGCTTGATAAACATATGCTTGATGGTGATGTTATCACAAGTCTAACTCTCGGAAACGTGGCAAAGGTTGTTAAACATTCAACTCATCATTTTTTTGAGGAAAATTTCCCTCTCTTTCATATTCAGTTTCCATGATTGGTAATCTTACTAACTACAAAAAACGTAACAAAATTTATTTGTGCTTTATAACTGTTTCCAATGTGTTAAAATGGGCTAGGATAACCATACCATACTATCAAGAAGTCAAAATTTACAGATCATATTTTCCTGCTGTAAAAACTTGAGATACCATAAAGTATGTCAGGTAACTTTATCTAGTAAAACCAAGATTTTGTTGCAGGTAAACGAAAATCCATTATTATACGTTATGTTTGAATGAAGATTTGTTGCGATTATTGGAATATACGCCTTTTCTGAAAAAAATTCTTGCACATATTTTTTCGTTATAAAAAGTAATTACAGAGTGTGGGATAGCCAAACTGCTCGCAGCCTGAATTCCTTTACTTAGTAACGGTTTAATCAGACTGCTGAAATTAGAGCTTAATTGTGTACGGTGAAAGAGGCTATTTTATTTTACTTGAGTTAATGACATGACTGTAAATTATTTATAGTAACTATTCAATTAATTTTGCTAATAACGGAAGATACAATTTCGACTATTTCTTTTTCAATAGTTTTTATATTTCATGTATTCATGCCATCGGAATTAGTAGGGACAGTAACTTGTTGAGAGAACGCCCAGGAGATGCTTAACGACTTGCCCTTGCCTTACAGCTCTGTAACGTTTTATTTTGATTTATCCATAAGATAGTTGCAAACAGAACATAATCTCAAATCTTTTCAGCCAGGAAGGAATCCTGTTATTCCATGACCAAAGTAATTGTGATTTTCGTTCGTTGTTTAGCTATGTCATTAATAAACGGTATTGCTTGAAAAATAAGAGACTTTCCAAACGAAGTCAGCACTTTTAAAGAAACGTTTTGGCAAGAAAAAATGCCTTAGCGCCTCAATTTATTCGTAATAAAAATTTCTTATTGCGCTAAGCCGAATCTTAGCAACAATCTGGAACAAAATCACAGTAAAGAATCCATATTCAGTTGTTTACCACAAAAACCAAAAATAGCTAGGAAATGACAAAAGCAATTTTAAAAAAACGTTAATGTTTGAGCCAATCGGATAAAAATGTCAAACAAACAGCATTTTCTACATAAGCTTTCAAAATTTCCACGACACATTTTACGAAAGGCATCTTCGATTAGAATTAGGTTTTTAGTGTATTTTTTGAGATGATTCTACATCACCAGAATCTTTCGTCAGAGCCTATAAAATTTTATAAAATTTAACACGCAGAAAAGCGATTTCCTGCTTTCAGTATGTATGAAGTAGTATAGGAAAATCTATCCATGATCTGAAAGGGAAAAAAATCGCAAATTTTGGCCAGTTTTAAATTTTGTCCGTAAATACTACTTGTGTTTGCCAAGTCTTACCAAAATCAAACTAAAACAGTTTCATTCATTGTCTTAATCACAGCATTGTTCCTTTGTAGAAACTGAAAGATGAAGCACGTCATTTTTTGCAATGAAAAGTAAAAGAACACTACAATACACTACAAAAATTAATGCACCATCTTACTTCCAATGAGTACGAGTTAGTATGCATGGAACATGATAATACAAGCAATGTTCAAAGAGAATACCATCTCTGCTAAAGAATCATTTCCAATTATGTAGTATGATTCAATAATGCAGGATGTAACAGATGCCAATGAGAACATACACATCATTCATGAATACATAAAACTGTGTGCATTATACTCAGATTCTCCCAATATGGCTGTGCTATTCACATACTGAAAGGGAAGTATCAGACAAACACAAAACGAATGCATTTTGAAAACATGTAAATGCCCCATCCTTATGTTTTTTTATGAAGTAATGGATGGTGAGCATAATATTCAGCATTCTAAAGATATTCAATGCTGGTAAGGCATTATAGAGTGATAAACTTTCATCCCCTTCCATTGAAATGGAGCATGCATTGTATACACAGTTACCATCAGCCAGCATACTAAACATAAAGAAGTATTTACAATATTCAAAGAAAGAAAGTGATAAATACCAAACTTACATTTACGTTCAAGCTAAACAAAAATGATAAGAGTACTCGGTGTATATTATAAGCACATATATTGATAAATCAGACAAAAGATTATGAATAAGGTGTTTTCAGTGGAGCTTGTTGATGATGTTTGTATAAAAACCAAATAGGGAAAAATATTTGGTAGATCTCCTTCACAGTCGAATGTCGAAACTATATAGATAGTCTATGATAGCGCTTTGACGTACATGAAAACATAGTGAAACCATATGTATAAAATAACACAAACACCAATTACTAACACATACTTCATGACTTCTATTATCATAAATAATTTTACTTAATTGAAGGACGATTTCCTTTGTAAGGTTAATGGTTAGGTTTCTTAGGTATATCATAGTTTGAAATCACTGTAAACACACAATTAGTCAATTCATCGCGATAAAAAAAAATGAGAAAGTTTAGAACGTTTTTAGCATTATTTCTCTATACGAAGAACAAACTGATGCTTTGAAAAATATCTTTTCTGCTTAAGTTGTCGTTGAAAATCTTCCTACTTAGTTTAGCAACTCGTTTATCTTTTAGTCCTTTCCATGAATAACTGATGTTTTATTCTGGAGCATAAGAGGGACCAGCAGTGTTGTGGTATAAAGGTCAATTTTGCTGACGCACATCGCACATCAGTTTTCGCCTTTTCTTCCACAACTAAGTGGTTGCTTGCTTCTGCACTGATTACAACAGAATATGCAGATTATGTTGTAGTCCACCATAATTTCAATAAGTGTTACTCAATTACGCGTACTTTAAATAATTGAAGGAATTATTCCGTCCTAGCTATGTATAAATATTCACAGATCTGTATTACCAGGCTTGGAGTTTTAAGATGCGTCCTTGTGCAAGCTTGGAGTTTTAAGCTTTACCAGCATGGCATCTTTGTCAAATGCCAATAGGTTTGGCACAATCAAAAAGATTGTTGCCTGTACGGCAGCAAAAGAGTTAACAAGATAATTATCAGCCTGTAACAGGAAGTTTTTCCTTTCGTCTTTCGCATTGACGTAATATGCAAATATTCATACGTTTGGATAACTATATGTTAGCACATATAAATTCGACATTGCTGCGACACGAGGATTCGAGGTGTGGCTGAAGGAAAGTCGAACAGAGTATATCTTGTGAAAATTATAGCATAAAGTTTAGTTGAGGTTAAACTAAGTTGCTTTACTGAAGAAAAGAGTGCACAGATGTACGTAAGTTTCTCTTGATATTCTGCATTATAAAGTTAAAATTAATAGGGTT